GAGAATAAATTCACACGAAGGCATAAGGTATATGAATCCCGAAGGCTACTTGCTAGGCCCGTACGGTGAATAAATTCACACGAAGGCGTCGCTTTCACCCCCACTCAAAAGGGTTCGGAGCTCGGGTATAGAGCCAGAGATGGAAACTTTTCAAAAATCTGAAATCATTGAAAAAAATGTTAGTACAACTATTTATTTCAAAAATAATCAAAGGTAAATAACTGGAATCGAATAAATAAATTTAAATTTAAATTTACAATTTTCGCATAAAAAGACAACCGAAAATTAATTCTGGCCTGACTCACTTACCTGTCCCCAGCGGAGTCGCCAAGCTGTCGCAACCGTCTTTCGGTTGGACCCCGGAATTGGGCTTCGACTTGAAATGAATTGGGTTGGAGTCGCCACCGACCACTTTAAAACGAATTTAGGTGGGCCGGATACCATCTTACCTGATCTGCGTCGTACCAGAAACGTGTCGGGTTCGGGAGTCGGTTACGGTCAAGGAAGGATTAGCACCCTTGAACCGCCCTTTCGGTACCAATTAATTTGTCGGTTGTCTTTAATTGCGAAAATTAGAATTTAAATTAAAATTAAATTCATTCGATCCGAATTACTTACCATTTGATCGGCTGAAATCATGACTGAAACAAAATACGTTAGATAAAAAGCGAAAACAAAATGCTAATAAATAAAAAAATATAAAAAATAATAATAATAATGAAAGAAAGAAATAATAAAATAATAAAAGGTTAAATTTAAAAAAATATTTAAAAAGTTAAATAAAAAAAATAAAGATAAAATTTAGGATCAAATTGGAACAAATTGAGCTTAATGAATTAGAAAATGAACTGCAAAAGAACAAATAAAAAGTTAGGGGACCAATTCACAGAATATAAAAAAATATAAATAGGGACCAAATTGATTAAATTGCAAATTCGGGGTCAAAATTACAAATAGTGACCAAAATGAAAACCGATCCAAAATACCAGGGACTGCGGAGAGGATTTAAAAATCTTCTATTTGCAGATCAATCCTTCGTAAAACGACGCCGTTTTGAATTTCGTATTTAAAGCCGAAATATGGTTCTATTTCTTCATTTCTCTCATTTTCGCCCGTGCTCTCTCTGATAACTCTCTCAAACCTCTCAAGCTCCTCCCCTCAGGCGATTCCCGACCACCGTCAGACGTCACCATCGGCCACCACTGGTGGTGGCCGGGAAAAAACAAAAATGCCCCTCACGCGTTGCTCTCAACTCCGTAAACCCAAAACTAGCCACCAAACCCTCAAAATCGACCCCAATAACCGTAGATCTAATATGCAAACCTCGGTTTTTACCTTTTCCGTCAGTGACTTTCTGACCTCCGACCCGTTGTTGAAGTTTTTTGCTTCGCTCACTGCTCTTTTTTGTTGTTGTGATATGTGTCTTTGGTTGTACTTTTCTGTTGATATCTCTGTTGTTGTTTGGTGTACTCGTTGATTCTGTTGGTTTTTTTAGTTTACTCGTGGGTTTCGTGGTTCTCGATTGATGGTCTCTGTTTGTTGCTGATGGTTCTCTATTGGTATCGTGGTTGTATCTCACTGTGATGGTTGTTTGTTTACTGTGATGGTCTATTTCACTGTGTTCTCCGTTTTTGGTTCTGATCCCTCGTGGGTTCTCCCTCGGTTCTGGGTTCTCCGATCCTCCTCCCCCTTTTGGTAATGGCTTGGTGGGGTCTTTATACCCCACCGGTGGCCTGTTAGCTCCGAAATAGGGGCGATCGTGGCTGTTGTGACCGGTCACCCCGGGATGGGTCAGTCCCGGGGATCTCGGCCGGAAATCTCGCGCCGTCCGTGATTGTTGGTGTGACTTCTGGAATATTCCTTGATTTGATCTCGACCGTTGGATTGGGTCAGATCCAACGGTCCAGATCTGGCTGCACAAATGAGGTCTTAGGGTTTTCCCCTGTGCGCCGCCTGTTGACATGTGTGCCTAGGGTTCTCAGACCATACCTTTGCTGGGCTGGTTCAGGCCCGTTCTGACTTATTTGGACCTCATTTTGGACCTGAAACAAAATCAAAATAAGTTAAAAAATGAAAAATAATAATAATAATAATAATAATAATAAATAATAACATATATATATACATAAATATTTTCAAAAACATATAATATATAAATTTTCAAAATGTTTTTTTCTTAAACTATATAATATACGAATGTTTTCAACATGTTTTCAAAAATATTATATAAGTTTTCAAAAACGTTTTAAAAACTATATAATATATAAATGTTTTCAAAATGTTTTCAAAACTATAATATATGTGTTTTCAAAAATGTTTTCAAAAATTATATATATAATTTTTCAAAATGATTTTAAAAATTATATATTATATATATGTTTTTAAAACGTTTTTTTTTTAAAAAACTATACATTATATAATTTTAAAAACTATTAAAAACAATATATTATGTATGTAGTTTTAAAATATGTATATATATATATAAATATGTATGTATGTACATATAAAGGAAAAAAAAATATGTCGATGAAAATTAGTGTCTACATTAGACTAACATTTTTTTAATTATGTTTGGATGTTGGACTATATAATTCGAAGTTTCGAACATTTAAATTTGTGTGTGTGTTTTTCTAATTAATAATTTGACAAAAAAATCGGGTATCTAAATACCCGAAATACGGGTACCCATAAAATCCGGGTACCGGGTCAGGACACGGGCCAAGAAATCAATTACCCAAAGATCCGGGTACCTGGCACTCAAGGTACCCGAATTTGCACACCCTTAAAGCTGGATGCATGTTTTTTTCTACGAAAAAAAAGCAACGACTGTTGATTTTGATCCTCAGAAAAGGATAAATTTCATATTTAGTCACCTAATTATCAATTTAGTTTTACTTTGGTCATCCATTTATTGTTTTTTTCAAAATCTTAAACCCTAAACACTAACCCCAAAATTAATAGTGATAATGATGTGTCACCATAAGAAAATATCACATCATCATTGAAAAAATAAAAAAAGTTATCACGTCAGCAGTTATGTTTATTTTTTAATGGTGAATAATCAAAACGCATTTTTAAGTATGATCTTGGAAAAAATAGTTGATTGACCATAATGAAATCAAAGTTATAGTTGAAGGACTAAATACTAAGTTTACCCAAAAAATATGCACCCAACTTCAAAATGAGTAAACTACATATTTCATCGGCCATCTATTCTATTATTTATATTTTAGTCAATTAACTATTTTTTAATTATATTAAACATTATGCTTTATTTTTATTTTGGTCACCTAATTTGACTATTGACTTAACAAATATAATGACGTGACATGATATAATAATAATTTTAATCCTCAAAACTTACATACTTAATCAAGTCCATTATAATTCGAAATAATACAATAAATCATCAATATTTAAATTTAATATTTTATTAATAATTCAAAATATTTTATTTCAAATTAAACTGTGAGGCCTGATATTTAAACTGAAAATAGATGCATGAGGGTGTTAAATTCAAGTAGAATCTAAGAGAAGATCTTGGAATTCACAACAAGACGACGCCATGAGTTTTAAAGAAAGGTAGCAATCAAGAACCTGGACCAATGAAGAAAACAAATGATGAACTTGCAGAGTCTCATGTCAGATACTTTTTTTTTGAAGGAAAAATGGAATTATTAACCTGAAATAGCATCGTTCAGTACATGATCAGAAAAGAAACCAGGACAGTTATAATCAAAGTAGATAGACTGGTTGGAAGAAGATGACCACGCGAGGACATGAGCAACATTGTTGGCAGTAAAATGGACTCTGACAGAGGGATGCGCATCCAGGAGATCACGAGCAGCAATGAGATGGAAACTAGCCACGGATAAATCGATACGGCGAGAGTCAAGCTGCCGAACCAGATTCATCGAGTCGCTCTCAACAACAGCATCGGTTGAAAGTGACGTGGCAACGCGAATACCCTCAACCAGTGCATGAGGTTCAACAACAGATGGATCGTAAAAATCAGCAACATCGACATTCACTTTGATAACCCCGGGTTCTGGTTTGCGCCTTCGGGACAAGGAGATCTATGTGAAGATGCAGATAAAAGGGAATGCTGCAAAGCATTGCTTTTGTAGAGGATCGACCAGCCAGGCAATAAGATGTCATCATATCCGCTCCTGAATGCAGAGATTAAATAGTTAAACCTATGACTCTAATCCTATAAAATAGTTAACTTTGTAAAACAAATATCTAATTCTCTCTTTTATTCTTATATTATACCAATGCCTTCTAAAGTATGTCATTTGTACCAAGTTGGGCCTTAAAGTATTTTTCGGATGTTACCTTGTTTGCCTCACATAGTTAACTCCTTTAAAAAAGTGACGATTAGGATTTGGTTTATCACACAATCAAGCATATGTTAGACCCATCCATCAATATTATTGGTATTGTTTCCCCTTAAATGAAGCTTACATTGCTATTTTCTTTGTATATATTAATGGAATGTTTAGTGTCACCGAAAGATGATTATCGATTCTTCCAAAAGATTCAACTGCAATTATAAGAAATTATTGTCACCTCTATCAACTAAATTAAGGCACTCCTCAAATAAGAACAAATGGGGAGAGAGTTGGAGAAATGTAAATATGAATGCTAAAACATATTTGAACAGAAAGCAAAGAGGACTTATTAAGCACTATAATGATACAGACAAGGTTAATTCAATATTTGAACATACATGAAGACTAGCGATCCCACCCGGACGGTCTTCATCTTTCCCTTTGCCTATCTATAGAACTGCAAGAAATAGTTAAGTGATTAAATAGTTAATTTACCCTTTTGTTTTTAACAGAGTTAATGATTTAGAGCAAACGACGTAACGATTTAAACTTCGAGAGGTAAACGTCCCGAAAAATACTGTAGGGAGCAACTTGGTACAAAAGGTTTCCTAATAAATTTATTGTCGGGATAATTATTTAAGGTATAGTTTACATGTGAAACAAAATTAGTTACATAAAACTAATGATCGATGCTTGTATTTCTTCCAGTGTTCTTCCTTTTGTCTCCGGCACCAATTTGGCGACGAATACAACAGTTAAGCCTGAGATTCCGGCGAAAATGAAAAATGTTCCTGCAATGATGTTTGCTGATACATTTTTGTTCAGAAATGTAATGTTAATTTACTCTGTGAGAGAAGAAACGGAGACTGACCTGCTGAGCTCCATTCCATCATAAAATTGAAACTGTAAGTAATGATCCAAGCAGTGGACCAATTGACTAGAGTCACCAGGCTTCCAGCTTGAGCTTTAACATTTATAGGAAATATCTAACCAAGAACATGGACCACGTTTTACTCAAATGAATCTCTTGCCTACAGATACTGGGGCAAGCTTGATATGTAAGCGACGGTGAAGATTTCGATCTAGGAATTGGCACATACCTCTGACATTATGATCCATGGTATTCCTGCTAAGCCTATTGGGAAAGCTATAGCACCGACCTGAGTTTGTGGTATCGATCAGTTTATACATGTAGTTTGGCTCAATATATACCTATAGCTGTGAATATGAATGCAGATTCTACAAAGAATCATGTATTGAGAAGCCTGATCCTTGTCAGGGTTATGGCCATTGGCAAAATAAGTTCAAAACGGAAGACATTAAGATGAACTGAAGTACCAATACGCCGGCAAGGCATAGAAACGGAGTAAATGGGTGCAGATTGGGAAGTTCCTGATCATAAAAATAATTGGAAAGGCATTAAACAAGGAATGTCAAACTCTAGAAGAAAAATAACTGAACTTTGTTATACCTTAAAGCAGAATGACAGTCCCAGGAGAATGTAAGAGAAACATATTCCACTTGCAGAAACCTGCATAAAATTGGATTGATTCCCTATTTACTTGTTTGTTCAACAATTTTACTATCATAAGATGAATTGTTTACGAAACTAACCATTAGAAGCGGTCGTCTACCGGATCTATCCATTAAAAATAAACCTAAAATACCTGCTGGAATCTACAGAAAAGAAAACATAATTGACATGTCTCGGAAATGCTTCGAAACATAATTTGACATTCATTACAAGTTGGAAAAAGAAGCCATAAAGGAACCTGTACAAAGGATAAAACTTGAAGGCCAAGACTACTAGATATACCTGTTGCAAAGAAGACTGTTTTAAAACCATCTGCAGTAATAATTATATAGGAACCAACACAGAAGATGTAAATTTACCTGCTTCTTCCAATATGCTACCAACATAATATGACACAGCTCCGCTTCCTCCTAGTTGTTGCAATAACATTAGACCAACTCCAACCTGCAAATTCCATGAAGCCATTTATAAAAGGAGATTATAGTTTTATTAATCAAATGCTATTCTCAGCTTACAATGAGTGAATTAGCATATTTCCTTTTGAATAATTCAAGGGAACTTGCTTCTGTCTGAGGCTCTAGAGTTTCCATATAATCCTACGAGAGAATACAAGCACACGTCATGAGAAAATACGCGTTCAAAAACTAAAAGATATGAAGTTAAAATGCTACTTTGATAACAGCTGCTTCTTCAGAAATATCCGAGGCTCCCCTAAGACGCTTCAAGGAAGCTTCAAACTCTATTTCTTGACCAGATTTTGCCTGCAGAAGCCATTCTTATTTTGCATTCACGTTGTATCAACTCAAAAGTAAAGAATGAAGTGCTTCTGAATGCAATGGAGTTGGGCTTACCAGCCACCTAGGGGACTCTGGAATGAAAAACAAGCCAATGATCTGTAGTACACTGGGGATTGCACCTGAAGAAAACAGAATACGTAAAACACTAAACTTAACTCTCACTACCTTTTGTGTTATCTAATAAAAACCCGAAGTATATACCGATCATAGCTAGGGAGCGCCATGAAATGAAGGTTCCAATGTAAAACATAAGTGTAACACCAGAAACTGACATCAACTGCATGAAAAAGGAAACTTGTATCTAATTAATGTTAAGTTGACAGATCACACTGTCAATTGATGTAAGTATATTTTACCATATTTGATGATGCAAAGGAACCCCGGTGACTTTTAGGTGTTATTTCAGCTATATAAACAGGTACCTGTTTCATAATGCATATCAGCATAAAAACTACTTTAAGTTGAAAAATGAACAGCAAACCTTAGTACATTACCACATAACAAAGAATGGAAACTCCGATACCGATGAAAAGCCTTCCAATGTCAATCCAAAAGGCATTCTTCCAACAAGAATTGAACATAACCATTATAAGAATCAGTCTATATGGAGTTACAATAACTAGTAAACATAGAACTACATGGAACTGGAAGTTAACCTCTGCATATGCTATTGATAGCCACCCAGCAGTGCAGAAGACATCAGAGAACCACATTGTCTGTTTCTCAGTCAATGAACACATTAATTTAGAGGATTAAACCAATATTCAATGGAATTTAACTTGAAACATCTGTGGAAGATGTAAAGGCTTAAAGAAGAAGAAGACGAACTTACACGTTTTCTACCGATAAGATCCGCTATCTTCCCACTTAGAATTGCTCCCACCATTCCTCCAATTGTCAATATTGAACCAAAAACAGAGTACTGCAAATTGGTGAGAAAGACTACAAAAGATTATTCAATTTTTCACAAATATTCATGTCCAATCTATTTGTCACTCACCTAAATCCGAGTAAGATAACTACAGCTTTCTTGTGCGTTAAATAAGTGGAAGCTTATTGAATGCATGAGTTTTTGAAAGGAAAAATTATAGAAAAGATTGAGTACTAACTGCTGGCAGAGAGAGGCCCAAATCTTGCATGATCCCATTCTCCGCTGGCGATGAGTAACCAACCTGGTTCCATTCTCAAAGTTAGTTCATTTTTTTATCAGTTCAACCAAATGTAGCATATCTATGGTGTTTTTCATTCAGTTTTCCCCCAAAACAAAACAGAAGAAGAACTTACAGAACTGCCGATGCATAAAGAGCCGCATGCAGCAACAAACGTGCTAAAGAAGAGAATAGGTGTCAATGCGGAAGCCGACAGAAGTGATGGCACGTTAAGGTTGTCGTTAAGACTGTCACCTCCAGCACCATTTCTACTTGGTTTTGTTTCATTTGGGGATTCATAGCTTCCTGTTAACAGCCCTTCTTCCATGCGTTTCCTCTCCATTTCTACTACTTTTGAATCGTTTAAAGTACCCAAGTAAACGATGAATCTATATCTCTGCCTATATAGGCATCTGGGACCAATGTTCAATTACCCTAAAGTTAATTATTGAAATTAATAAATATCGAAATGTAAAGGGTCCAATCTTTATTAATTTCAATAATTAACTTTAGGGTAATTGAACATTGGTCCCAGATGCCTATATAGGAAGAGATACATTACCCGGGATTAATATTTTGGGGCTGCCATTTTCTTACTCGGGTTGGTAGGTGTAGGTGATAAATATTACAGAGAACTGTTTCTTTGGAAACAGCTGCTGTTCGATTGTAAATGAAGAAAGAGAAATCTTCTCTCTTCACGTTAGCAAAAGCTCTACATCCGGAAATAGATCGAGAGATATCGGTAGAGACGGAGCTTTGTTGGGGTTTAAAGGGTCCTGGCCCTTGTAAAATTTTAATATATTCGATAGATTTTAAACTAATAGTATTTCAGTTTATGTAAAAATAAGTATTCAAATTAAAAAATTATAAGAATTTATTAAATTTTTAATCAAGTTAGGGCCGAACTAAAGAAAGATAATTTTATGTTCTCAAATTTTTTGATATTAACAACAATTTAAGTTATTGTAAGTTTAAATATTAGACAAATTAGATATTATTTTTTGAATTTTGAGTTTAAATATCTAATAAATAATTATATATTTCTTAAAAGGTTCAATATTTCGTTCTCTGTCAATATTTAATCTCGGCTCCGTCTTTGCATGTCCGGATGAAATCACACATTTAGAAATTTTAAAATCTTATATAATTTAAATATTTTTTATTGATGATATAATTTTGTATTCCTAAAATTTTATAATTTTATACTCTTTAAATATTTAGTATAACTTCCTAAATTTATATTGGTAATATAAATTTCTGGTCCCTATTTAAATCCAAGGAATATTGAATGAGGGGGGACAAAACACGAAAGGTGGGTGATAGTCCTTGATAACCCTTGGTTTCATGCGGTTAATAAAATTTGGGTAAAGTACACAAATAGTCCCTTAACTATAGTGTGATGCTTTGTTGAGTCCATCAACTATTAAAAGTTACAAAATAGTTCTCTGACTATAGGGTGTTGCTTTGTTGAGTCACCGACTATTAAAAGTTACAAAATGGTCACTCAACAATATAGTATGTTCCAAACCCGTCTTTTTTCGTTAAAATATTGACAACAGTATGAGTTGAATGTTAACATGTTGACTGAGATATGATAATTTTTTTAGATTTTGGGATCAAATTTTATCATATCTGAGTTATCAGGTTAACACCTAGCTCAGAATGCCTTCAATTTTTTAACGGAAAATGAAGAGTTTGGAACATACTAAATAGTTGGGGACTTAAACAAAGCAACACCCTATAGTCAAATGATCATTTTATAAGTTTTAATAGTTAATGGACTCAACAAAACATCACCTTATAATCAGGAACCATTTATGTACTTTACACATAAAATTTATGGGGACCAAAATATTTAATAATTGACAACCCACCTCTGATTTTATTCCTTTCTCAATTGTGGGTCAGAAATAAATGAAATTTGAATTTCATGCTAATTATATTAAAATTAATACATTATAATTTTATTTTATTTTTTATTATATCATATTTTTTACTTTTTGATTTTTAATAATTCTATTTTTATAACGTATTTTCATTTACCTTTTGGTACTTTTTTTTATTCGTTTGGCCGTTGTTTTCATCAATTTTTTTATGATTGGATTTGAATCATAATGATTAGTCAATATGACACTTATTTATTATTATGTTGATCTTTATTGCTTTAGACCCTCGAATTAGATTTGAATACGCAATTTGCGTTCGTTTATAGTTTTTTCATGTGAGTCGACTCTGATTTACAATTTTTCAGTGGTATTTCCATAGCTTGATCCCCTTTTGTAGTTCTTTCTTCGATGTGGTTAGATCTGTTCGTATCTACCTTTTGTTCGAATTTATCTTATTAGGTTTTTTTAACATTTTCCTTATACGATCATTGTGTGATCTTAAATGACTAGTTTCTTGTATTATTGATTATAAAAAAATATTCTTATTTTACAGTTATGATTGTAAACCTTCATTATTGGATATTTTTTATTTTTTTAATAAAATTAGCGGTTTCTATGAACAAAAACTATTTTTTTTTGACATTAAATGAACAAAAACTAGAATGCTCAAATAAGGGACATGTCTTATTAATTTGCTAGCATTAAGGTGGAATTTAATTGATTTGTAATTTAGTTGTTAATGACATTGGCTTGTTATTAATAACCTATGGTTATGGTTGAATCTAAGATGGTTTCCATTAGAAATAAGATTGGTTTTTAATAATTTGGTAAATTTTAGAGTATCTCAGATGATATACATTTTTTCTTTCTTAATTTCACAGTTACATGCTTAATTGATAATTGTATGTTGGCTGAATCATAAACGACATTATATGATGGTCCTTGCTTTTATGGAATATCACGTCTACAGACTACGCTGTTCTTTCTGCTCGCTTTGCATTTCAAGAAGGGCGATGAAATCGATGAAGAAACTATTTTCCCATAAAATAATCCAAGGAAAAAAATCACACAGCCCACCCTCATTCACTGCGGTTAGCTCGAAGGAGCAGATCTACTTTCGCATCCAGCCCCGCCGCCTTCGACTGCACAGCCTCCTTCAAGCAACTGAGCACTCCTCCTCCCTCTGCAAACCTTGAAAAATTCTATGATTCTTTTCCCTCCATATTAACACAATACAACAGTTCCAAGCAAGTTTAAACATATAGGAGGGCAAAGACTTTCCTTTCGCATTGAAACACGCCCAACCGAGCTCATGGCTCCAAGCCATAATCGAGCGGTCAACACAGAGCTCCACACCCGTCTAGCGTACGAGAAAGCAAAAAAAAGATGATCCCTGGACTCAGACTCAACTAAACACAAGACGCATTTGTTGTCAACATTCCCTAAAAAATATTATTATAAATTATAGGGAAAAATACAAATCTTTAAAAATCCCTCAAACCAACCTTCAAATATCTAATCTTAACCTTATTATCTCTTGCCGACTACGATCACTGTCGTCAAATTGTCATTTTCATCTCTCTTTTCTACCATCGTCACCCTTACTGTCTCTCGTGTCATCTAATCTCGTGGGGTCACGTAAATGTTACAATTTTTCCTTGTCGTTCATCGAATTTAAATCATGATGGAGTTCGTTGGGTGGTTGGTCGTCTGGTGGAGGTGCAGTCGGGTAGATTCGATCGACGGCAACAATGGCAGCAGAGCTGTCGAATAACGTGGATATAGAGATTGGAATTTGGGTTTTCAAAGTTTTAAAGTTTTTTTATTTAAAATTAATAGGTTTTCTTAAAAGAAATTGTATTTTTAAGTTTTTTTTACAATATATATATATATATATATTTTGAAAAGCATTTTGTATGGTTTTATTGAATAAACACATACAAGATAAGGAGGACAATGGGAGCCTCGTTAAAAAGTCTTCATAAATCTAAATTAAGGAAAAAGAGTGTTTCAGGTTGAAATTACTACACAACATACAACAATGAACCATCGACTCTCCATGACGAAATGTGATACTCTCATTTAACGAAATTTTTTAACAGTTGTTACAATCATAGCACTTAAAATAGTAACGTTTGTAACATTATATATTTGAATTGATTAAAGAAAAAAAAGTTTAAACACCTAAATAGAAAAAATAATATAATTTAAGTGAATTTTTTATATTAAACCTAAAATCAAAATGAATTAAGATTATAAAATAATTGAGAAAGAGTACCACCGCTTATTGTGATACGGAATGGAGGGTCAAGCACTATCAAAATCATTTGTGTATACAAATCGAAAACACTTGCAACAACGTTCGTAAATTTGATGATGGCATCAAAGATTGAGAGTGTCGAAACAGTCATATTATTTTAGGTATAAAGTGTACAAATGGTACTTAATTATATAACACTATTCTGTTGAGGTCCCAATTATTCAAAATTATAAAAAGATTTCAAATTATATGTCGTTGCTTTATAGAATTCACTGACTATTAAAGTTATAAAATGGTAGTTCGTTTATTCATATATTATAAACTCATCATTTTCTGTTAAATTATTGTTAGATGTCTGAGCTGGACGTTAACCTGTTAATTGAGATATGACAAAATTTTATCCAAAAACCATTTTAGATATATTTTGTAGATCGACTATCCGTTTATATTACGTCATCGAACTAGTACTTGAAACATTATGTTATCGGTCAAGTGCTTGAAATCAACAACAGTGATAGTAGATATCATTAAAATATGATTTTATCATATCTCAGCCAACAGTTTAACGTCCAGCTCAAACAACCGTCAATTTTTAAACGAAAAATAACGAGTTTAAAACATGTGTAGATGAGTGACCATTTTATTGAATTTTTAATGTTCACTTGCAATTTTTTTTATCCATTTGGGCCAATTCGGAATCGATTGGGTTTTTTATCTGCATGGGTCGATTATTCGGATTCGAGTCGGATAGCGAACAAAACTCACCCAGAACTGTTATCTCCATAAAGAAACTGATATTTTCCTTGAGAAAATTAACATATCACTGAAACAATTACATGTTACAATTTCCTAGTAGCAGTTCGCTTTGCATCAGTGAACAAGTGCAACAACTCATTCCACAAATAAAAGCCACAGGCTTTGGCAAAATGCATTGTCATACTTCTAAACTTACCCTTAACTGTACAACCACTATTGTCAAATCACATCCAGCTAAATCAGTTCAGTTGGGCTCTGGAATCCGGGCCTTTTGCCGCAGCGAGTTCAACCGTCACGATGAAACTCGACCTGCCAGCTTCCCTTAAATACTGGATATCTCCATTCACGAGTTTGACCAATTTTCGGCTGATTAGCAAACTGATACCCTCATCCGATGCGTCTTCCTCGCTTCCGAACATTTGGTTCAGCAACGCTTCAGGTACTCCGCCAC